TATTGTATAATATACTCTGTTGTTCCACCCCCACTGAGCAGAAAACCGCGTTCGTCCTTCGCGTTCAAGTCCCCCACAATTTCCTTGGAGAGGCGCGCAGCTTCGGTCGAAATCGCACAATATGGATCCTGCTTTGTCGAAATTAGCTGCGATGGTAATGGACGAGATCCTCTAACTCCCTTCCCTGTATATTTTATTTTTTATTTCTTCTTTTTCTTCTACCTCTTCATTCCTTTATCGCGAAATACCTCCCACAGTCCCACTGAATGATGACAAGAGTCCTAGAAAGAGAAATTATTAAAAGTCGCCTTCTGGGTATCAAATTTTTCTATATAGATGTATATACATTGAAATTTGTGGGCTTTCATCTTTTCGAAGCATTGATGCTTTTAAATGTTGAAAGTGAAATTTACAGTTTTCATAGTTTGGGAAAAGGAAAAGAGTTTTCTGTTATAATATTAGAAATTTGCGATCTGGAGTTTTGATTTCAGGTTCTTTTTAAAAAATCTTGTACATTAGAGACTTAGAGTTCGATTTAAAAGTAGCAGAGTTGTATAAATTGGTATCTTTACAATTTTTCTAAGGTTCTCGAATTGGGACATTTATCGGTACAAAAATTACATGAAAATAAAGAAATTTATCGATTTTTTTCTAGGTTCTATTGTATTGTAATAAAATTTTAATTTAAAGAGGAAATTAATAAATTATAAATATTGGAATGTTTGGAATTTAGAAAGAAAAGCAATTACAAATTTTTAAGTAATTTAAAAATTTTTTAAGCAGTGAAAAATTATTAAGAATTAGTTGAAATTTCAACTGACTTAAATTAGGAGACTTGTCACTTATTCGGAAAGTAATGTCTGTACTTTGGTTTACTTTTGTTGAAGTCTAATTTACTGGAATGTGTGTATATGCTAAAAATGACTTTGTTTCTGTGCGAGAAAGCGCAAGCTTTGAAGCATTCCAACCAACTGCCGACAAAGGAGCGGAATAATAAGCTAATCGTACTTGCAAACATAGGACAAAGAATGCAAAAACACAGCTAAATATTTGTGTGTCTAACTAAAAACGTATATTCACTAAAAAAGTATGTACATCAAAATCTGGAAGGGTATTTTTGCCAAATAAATTTCGCTTATTTAAACACAGTTTGAAGGATATCAAATTGAGACAAAAAAAGAAACAAAATTGTTGTGATGCAACAATTTTGTTTCGTTTTTTGTCTCAATTTGATAAACTTAGAACTGTGAACATTTAAAACTTTAGGAACATAAGAAAAATAATAAAAATGACAATACATTTTTATAAAATTGAATTAATCAAATTTTCATTTATAATTATGAACAGACAAAATTATTTTTAAAAATTAAAAAAATTCTTTGTTTAATTCAATTATTTTCCAAATTTTTAATTGAAATTATTAAAAAAAAACATTATTTTCAAAAAATTTAAAGCGACTCGTCAAAAGAATTTAATTATTCATAAAATCTCTACACTGAGAAAACATAGAAAAATAATTTTAATTGATTTTGTTTAATTGAATTTAGTTTCTAAGCTTAATCCCAATATATATAGAAAGTATCTACTGCTTTGATTTAAAAATATTATTTGTTTGAATAATTATGTTTAATTCAACCATATTTTCTGTTTTGATTTCAACAAAAATTATGTTTAAATTCTTTATGTTTGATACAAACTTAAAAGTTGATTTGAAATAATTTGAAATCTACAATAACTTATGTTTGAATTAAATATATTATTTCTTTAAATGAACCAAAAAATATGTTTCATTTAAAATTAAATATGTTCTGTATAGCATAGATATTTTAAGTTTGATTTAAACAAAATATGTTTGAATCAAATAAATCGTTTTCTCAGTGTAATACAAGTTTTGGAAGCCATTTGTAGATTTATTTATGTTCGAAATCAAATATGTAAATTCAAATTTGATGAGAAAAAAAACCGGGAAAATTAGGACAAAGCCGTGGAATTTTGTTGAACGAAAATAGTAGACACCCTGATTTAGAACTTTAGGTAGAAAATTGTAAGGACTAAAAAAATATGCCAGGAATGAGATATATTTGCGTATATCTTACATTTAATCGTCATGCTATAGTCATGAATGTCATCGTCAACACAGTGCTTTTGAAATTGTAAACGGAAGGGAAAATGGAAAAAAAAGGGGTCGAGATGCTGCTGCTGCTGCTGCTGTGCTGCATAAGAGCTGGACTATATGAGTGATATATCCACGCTTGGTGCCCCCATTAAGAGATTGCATTATGAGTTCACTTTGTATAGTTGGCGTTTTATACACAGCCTCTGTATCTATAATTCTCTCTCACTCTCGCGCACGAGGTACAGTACACTTCCTGCTTTTTTTTTCTCTTTTTCTCGCGCAGATAGAGTTAACAGTATGTATATGCCTCGAACCCACACCCAACATTGTACCTCGCTAGCGAGAGAGGGCTTCATGCACGCGGATAAATATGTTTTTATACAAAAAAGTTACCCTTACCCCCTACTACCACCACCGCCCAGTGCGCCCCATACAAACACGGTCATCATATGATTACACCACCCCAATCCGCCTACTCTCTTTTTCTCTCCGTTGAGAGACGAAACGCACTACACATTACGAGATGAGATATCTTCTCATGAAAATTGCATGAAAACCTTTAAGAATATCGCGCGCCGACGTCCGCTTTCCTTTTGCAGAAGCGATGCTCTTTATATTTTTTACTTTATTTTTCGTTCAAAAATTTTATACGTATGTATATGTATACATACTTTTCAGTTTAAGGGGTTGTAAAATCGGTAGCTTTTCAGGCGCTGTTTGTCAAGTTTGAGTGCACTTGATGGAAGTGCAGTCGATTGACTTGATGACTTGACACGCAACTGAACCATCATTCAAAAAAGCTACTCTCTAAATTTTAATCAGTTAAAAATAACTGATTTAGAAGCAAAAAAGTCGGTCACTAATTCAAATAGTAATATTTCTACTCACAAATAGTTAAAAATAACTAATTGTCAGTTAAAAATAACTAATTATCAGATAAAAATATAACTATTTCAGTAATTTTGTTGACTGATTCAGTTAGTCAAATTTAACTAATTTTTTAGTTATTTTTTTTTACTGAAAATCAGTTATGTTTTCACTGATTCAGAAGCAAAAAGTCAGTCAGTGAGTGTCAGTTAAAACCATAATTTTTGACTGATTCAAATTAAGAGAGAATATCTACTATTTTAATAAAAACTTTCCCCAAAGAATTGAATTGTTTAAAATAAAATGTTTATAAAATTCTTTGCAAACATTCAATTATTTTCATAAATAATAAAATTTTTACAGAAATTCAATTAGTTAAAAGTTAAAACCAATTTTTATAAAATTTTTCGAAAAAAAATCAATTATTTAAAAAGATTTTTATAAAATTCTTCACAAGAAATTCAATTATTTAAAACAAATTTAATAAATTTCTTCCCAATAATTCAATTATTTTTCTAAATAAGAAATAAAATTCTTCTCAGGAATTCAATTATTTTTAAAAATTTTAATAGAATTCGTTGCAAAAATACAATTATATTCATAACTAATAAAACTCATTGCAGGATTTTAAATAAATTCCCAAAGAAAAATATTTTTAAATAAAATTTCTCAAATGAATTCAATTATCCTTAATTTTTTTTATGTTTCTTGGCAAATTTTCAATTATTTTCAATTCAATTTTAATAAAATATCTGAATTCAATTATTCTTAAAAATGTTGATAAATTTCTTTGCAGAATTTCAATTGTTTTGAATTTTTCGTATGAATTCAATTATTTAAAAAAAAATTTATCAAAAGAATTCAATAATTTTCAATACAATTTTAATAAAATATTTAAATTCAATTATTCTTAAAAATGTTGATAAATTTCTTTGCATAATTTTAATTGTTTTGAATTTTTCGTATGAATTCAATTATTTAAAAAAAAATTTATCAAAAGAATTCAATAATTTTCAATACAATTTTAATAAAATATTTGAATTCAATTATTTCTAAAAATGTTGATAAATTTCTTTGCAGAATTTCAATTGTTTTGAATTTTTCGCATGAATTCAATTATTTTAAATAAAATTTCTCAAAAGAATTAAATTATTTTCAATACAATTTTAATAAAATATTTAAATTCAATTATTTCAAAAAATGTTGATAAATTTCTTTGTAGAATTTCAATTGTTTTGAATTTTTCGCATGAATTAAATTATTTAAAAAAAAATTTATCAAAAGAATTTAATTATTTTCAATACAATTTGAATAAAATATCTGAATTGTATTAGTCTTAAAAATGTTGATAAATTTCTTTGCAAAGTTTCAATAGTTTTGAATTTTTCACATGAATTCAATTATTTTAAATAAAATTTCTCAAAAGAATTCAATTATTTTCAATAGAATTTTAATAAAGTAACGGAATTCAATTATTCTTACAAATTTTAATTAATTTCTTTGCCGAATTTCTATTATTTCTACTGTTAGAAAATTTAAATTTTGCATTAATTTAATTAGAAATTTTAAAGAACTAAGTTTTTTGAAAAAATTTGATAATTCAATTTCTTTTGAAATTATAGTTTAATTTTTTATATCTATTTAATTAATTATTAAAAATAATAAATTAAGGGAAGAGTTTTAGTTAAAAGCTCTAAAAAAATTGAATTTTTAGAGAAGTTACAAATAATAGCAATTTCTATGAATAATTAAATTATTTTAATTTAAATATTTTTAATTTAAACTTAAATCTTTGAGAATATGAATTTTTCATACTTTTAATTAACAATTTTTTAGAACTAATTTTTTTTTAAATTTAAATTCCATTTCTGTTGAAATTATTCGAAGCTTTTATTTTCTAGTATATATTTAATTGAAGAATTTCCTTATAAACGAAATTTTGGAAAATTGAATTGTAAGCAAATATTAAATGTTTAATAAAATATAATTGATGAAAAATTAATATTTAGAAAGTCGATTTACAAAATAATTAAGCGCATTTTATTGACTAAAAAGATACATATATAGAAAATTACAATGTTTTTTTGGTCGTAATGTAAAGAAAAATATAAACTATTTTCTGTACTTATATCTACAAACGATAATATAAAATGAAGTATTTAAATTCTAATTTCAGACAGTTGATTTTGAGTATATATAATTTTTTTTGGATATAAATATAGATCTGTTTACTTGAGATATTTTTGAATAATGTTGTCTATAAACCAATCAGCGGTGAATTGCAAATGATCGCCATGCACTTGGAGAAAATCTATCTTTCCATCTTCATCCATCTGCTTTAATCCAAGACGATCCTGAATAAACGAAATGTATTTTTGTAAAATTGAAATTGAAGTGGAATTTATATATTACTATGGAATTTATTTTCAAAGAATCATAAATTGAGAAATAGGTATTTAGTGGAACCTCGATTATCCAGACTTCTGTTATCAGAATTATAAATTATTTTAACCGAACTTTTTCGTTTTCTTAAACCCAAAATAATCTTAAATACAATTTTTATATAATGGTTCGAAAATCTTATATTAAAGTGCAGTTGAAATAATCGAGGTTCCACTGTTAATAATTATTTTAAGATAAAAATTGAAGATCCTAAAGTTCTGAACGTTCAAATGAACGAAATTTATTTGTTCCTTTTACAAATTAAATTTTTATTGCAATGATTTTGTGTCACTATCCAAAAAATTAATTGTGACGCGATCTGAAGAAAGGGACCTTAGAAGCAAAAAATTATAGGTTATGTTTGCAATTTTTTAAATGAAAATATAAAAAAAGGATCAACTGTCAATATAAATCATTGAAGTTTAAGTCTTCATTAAAACTAAAATATTTAATAAACACTGATTTTAATTCGAAATAAGTAAAAAGAAACTTTCAAACAAGAAAAAAGTAACTCAAACCCAACCTTAAAATAATTTGCTTCTAAGGTCCCTTTCTTCAGATCGCGTCACAATTACTGAGTTTCTAAACGTAAAATTTCAGTTTTAAAACTTTTTTGTGATTAGTAATTTATAAAAATATCTTTAATAAAAAATATTTCGTTCATTTGAACGTTCAAAACTTGGGGATCATAAAAATTGTCGATATTGACTGCTGATGGATAGTAAGTTTTGTAGAATATTAAATTTTAGAAAGAAAAAAAAAATTTAAAGAAAAGAAATTAAAAATCATTAGATTACCTCTTTGTACAAATCACTTTCTTGAAGACTTTGCGTCTTTTCAGATTGTCCCGGTTGATAAAATCCAAACCATTCTGTTTCATGCGGTTGAACCATTGAGTCTTCAGTGAATTTGATTAAGACCAATTTCTTCAATTTCTGCAAATTATCCTTGTAGGTCTGCAAAATATGCAATTACTTATTCCATCCGCTTTCATTATAGATGCACATATAATTATTCTTCTCTCTTCGCAAAACCCACTAACCTGATTTAATGTTCGTTCATTGTTAATGTCAGCTAGGAAAATGCTGTACTTTTTGTATTCATCTTCCTGAAGAGGATCGTGCCAATATTCGGCTTGAACAAAATTGTTTTGCACAAATCTACATGAAAACAAAATTTCGCTTAATTTTAGTATAGTGCTTTTAATGTTTTTAAGAATTTAGAATTTAAAAAAATGTTAATTAATTAATTAATTAATATAAATTACAAATTGAATAAGGTTTTGAATATTTGTAAAATAATAATTTACTGATAGTAGGCTGCATGGTTTAAAATTTGTCTGAGACGATTGCAAAGTCCATGATCGAGGGAAGGGCATCTGGGCAGACCGTAAACTCCCTGATGTTGACCACCAATTGAAATCAAATTTTGCATTTGAGGTTGGGGACATCTTTGGGCCACAGCTCTCCTGAAAGTTTAAAAATTATTTTTTATTAAATTCATCAAAAAACAACTTTTTTGCACTTTACATTATCAAAATTTATTAATTTTGCTTTCGATCTTCTGTTCCTAGAGTTAATTCCTGCATTTGAAACAATTGTTCATTTGTTTGAATCAATTATTTAAATATTAAAATTAAAATCCGTAAAACTTATCCAATTCTTGAAAGTTCAAATTGGTACCAAATTGATGAGGTTGAAGTCCGCAACGTTTTTAAAAACGAAAACAGAAAAATAACTCAATGATTTTATTTTATTTTCGTATCAAATTAATTTTCTATTTATCAATTTTCTTTCAAGTAACAATTATTAAGTTAACATTTCTTAAAAATTTACGCACTTGAACAATAGAAATTAATTTAAATTGTTTAAAATTTCTTTTTAATTTTTCGTTTTCAAAAAAAGTTGCGGATCAGAAATGAATTTTATTTTTTTAAGTTTCGAAAAATGACTCACAAAAATTGTGACCCCTGTGAAAATCCAATCGCGTTATATCCATTTTTCAACGAATCTTCGTTTGCCAGCAAATTGCAAACCTCTTCGATTTGATGATTAGCATTTTTGAAAAAGCCGTTCATTACATCCTGGAAAAATTCAATAAATTATATATAATCTTGAATCATTATTTTCATTCTGTTATTAATATATTAATATTATACAGAGAAGAAAAATGGATGATTTCTCCGAACAGTTCAACTCTTCGCGATAAACGTGGAGAAATTTCTGTTTGTTTAATTTATATGTGAAAGTGAATAGAAAACGAATTTATAGAATATATATTATACTAACCTCCACGGTATCTTTTCCAATTCGAATGGAAATCACTTGAACTCCTGGTATTTCGTTTTCTATGATGTTCTTAATTGCACCCAAACTAAAGGAAAAACAGCAACTGTCGCCTAGGGGGAAGAAAAATTAATTTTGCTTTTTTAAAATCAGAAGTATTTTTTTTTTATTTTTAAATTTTGTGGTTTTCAATTTTCAGTTATATTCAATTTTCAGATTTGAAATACTTGCTGATGATTTGCTATAATTAATAACTATGAATCATGTGTGAGATTCAATGGGAGTCGTGACCTGGGATTTTTTTTCTTTTGTCCATTAAATCAGCGATAATGTCGCACTAAATAACTACGTTTTCTTTATTTAGTTTCTTTAGTTTCTTTGCCGTTTCTTCCTTATTAGAAATTTTATTATATTTTTGTACTTATTACGCAGAAAACGTTTTATTAAAAAAATAAAAATTTATATTTCAATAAAAAAAATAAATTGTCTCGAAATTTAGTTTTCAAATCTTTTGTTATTTTATCAAATTAAATTGATAAATATTTTTAACCTATTTTAAATAATTTCAAAATTAACATTTCGAAAGTTTTGAACGTTCGAATTGAACGAATATTTTTCTATTTGAATATTTTCCCAAGGTTTTGAACTTTTAAATAAACGAAATTTTTTTCTGTTTCAATATTTTACAAAATTAAATTTTCTTCATCTTTTATAATGTTTGAATGAACGATTTTTTTCCTCTTTAAATATTTTTCAAAATTAAAGATCTCAAAGTTTTGAAAGTTCAAATGAACGGAATTTTTTCCTCTTTAAATGTTTTTCAATATTAAATTTCCTTCATTTTTTAATGTTCGAATGAACAAATTAATTTCTGCTTAAGTAATTTTTCAATAAATTAAATTTCCCAATATTTTGAAAGTTCAAATGAACGAAATTTTTTTCCACTTAAATATTTTTTTCAAAATTAAAGTTCCCTAAATTTTAAACGTTCAAATGATCGAAATTTTTGTATCTTTAAATATTTTTAAAAATTATTATACTAAATAAAAAGGAAAAATTATTAAAAAGAAACATTTAGTTAAAAATTAATTTTACGTAATATGCAAAATAATATTTTTGTACAAAAAATAGAAATTAAAAGAAGTAAAAAATTTCGTTTATTTGAAATTTCGAAATTTTAGGAACATAAAAATTACTGTATTGAATTGAAAATACAAATTTTAAAAACGATTTGTAAATAAATTTTTATTAACAAAGATTTTTTTTCATAAATTGTACTCGTTTGTGTTTATTTATCGTCTCTAAACTATTAAAATAACTATTTTAATTTTGATAGATAATTAAGTTAAAAACGTTTATGAATTTCTAAAATTTTTTCACCTTTGAACAAATTTTAAAAACATTTTGTAAAAATACATTTTTATTAACAGTTTTTTAAAATTACTTTCTGTGGTGTAAATTTGTGGTCTCTTAGTCATCCAGGATATAAATAATTTATTTAATGTTTCTCTCAAAGAACTGTGAATTGAAAAAAATACAAAAGAGAATATTATTGATAGCAAATATAATTTACAAAAAGCACAAATGAATATTTTCGATATTAAAGAAAAATTTAATTTGCAATTTAAAAATGTGCGCATCCTGCTTGCGCAGGTATTTTATTGAAAAATTTTGATTCGAAATTATTCGAAATTTATTATTTTGTTAATTTTTTTTATTTGGAATAAAATAACTGCTAAGAAAAAAATAATTAGTTTCAATATACTTGGAAATAAAATTTGCTATAGTTGTATAAATGTAAAAAAATTGAAATAATCGGGGATAATAAATAATAATTCGTAAATTACCCATTCCATGCCAAAGAACAACAGGTAACGGCGGCGAATCATCAGCGAAACTTAAATTTTGACTAGCATTTATTAACAAAAATATAAATACAATAGTTCTTTTCACAAAATACATGATAGTAATTTTTTACAGTTTAAGGTACTCGCGGTTTCATTCAAGTCGTGTTATAAATGTTAACTGTGTTCTCATTTGAAATTGTTGTTTTTATATATTTTATAAAATGAGTGATGATACTTTTTCCTTTGTAAAGAGTAAAAGTATATATTTAGTTATAGAGAAGCCGCGCCATATGCCCAAATGTTACTGACGCAAATTGCGCCACGGACGGATTTTCCTGTAAGCTTATTTAAAACAGACCTTGATGTTTAATTTTACATGTTTATTTATTTACAATTTCCATTTGAATTGAAACTCGAGTCAATATTTTTTCATCTTTAATAAAAATTGCCAAGGTCAGCTGTGAAGACGTTGAATTAGCAGTTTTAATTGACAAGTCAAAGTTTAAATATTGTTTTATAAATATTTTTAATAATTTTTCATTTTTTCCTTGTTTTCTTTTTTTTTTCGTCGTAGGTCAATTTGGAAGTAAAATTTTTTCAAAGGAAAATATTACTTCCATTGATTTCTTGTTTCCTAATTTGTACATCTTTATATACATATTTATGAAACTTAAGCATATTTTATGATTAAAAATATTCGATTTATAAATTATCGATTAAATAATTAATAATGATATAAATTGATAATATATTGAGATTCAAAGTTAAAGTTTTACGACTAATTGGAGGTAAAATTTTAACTTTTTCTTATAATGTGAAAAGAATTAAGGTTAATCGTATGTGAAAAGTGTTGGATAACAGAACTTTTCTTAGTCTAAATGTTTTTTTTTAAATTTTGCTAGTTTATAATAAAAGTAGAAATTTTTATATTTACTTTTTTTTGGAATATTTAAAAAAATTTGAATTTTTTGTGGAATTTTTTCATCACAGATTTTTAAATTTCGAAAGTATTTAAATCTAAAGTTATATATAAAAATTTTTCTTGTAAATATAACAAAATTGGAAATATTTGAAATTAAAATCAATTTCGAAGCTTTTTACAAAAAAAAAAAGTTATTTTAAATTAAAAATTACCGATCGTCCTTAGTTTCTCTTTTTGTGATTATCGTTTTGATGATAGGGAAACTTTTCGCATTCGCAAATATACAAGACTAGAAGGATAAGTTGTAAGGCCCGGTTGACTTTTCAGGGTTGCTACGGTTTTAAAGGTTTTCGGATTTTTTGAAAAATTTTACAATAAAGAAAAATTATACATTTGATAATTTAAATAAACACAAATTAAAGAATATGAAAAAAATTAAAACGGAAGTTGAATAAAAATAAAATTGAAACCTAAGAATTAAGAATTGAAAACTGAATAAAAATAAATAGACAATTGATTAAAGATAGAATAGAAAATAAGTAGAAATTAAATAAAATACATTAGTAATTAGTAATTAACTAAAACTGAACTAAAATTGATAATTGATATTTAAAAATATTTGCTTCGTAAGGAAATTGGTAATGTTTTTACGAATTTTAAAAAGAGAAAATAGATTTTTACATCTTCTGTAACCGTAGGAGCCCTGATTTTTTTAAAAATTTCATTCTCAATCGCAAATTTGAGAAGAACTTTACAATCATTTCTCAAATTCGGAAATATTTTCTTAATGTTTCAATAACAGTTTATAGGTAAAAACAATTATTGAATCGAGAATGATTATCGTTAACGAACATATAAACTTAAATTGTCAGTCTTTTCTTAATTAAAAAAAAAAAAATGTTAATTAAAAGTGAATTCTTTGAAACTTGAAATTTCTTAAAATCTTACGTGATTCACGTTATATTTATAAAATATATATGATAAAAAAACATTGAATATTGGTCTCGCCGTAACGTAACAAAATTTTTCCTACTCATATAAAATTTCAATTTTCAAAAATGTTTTTTTTTTATATCTATAAAGAAAACTAGATTGCAAGCTAGAATCTTTCGACATTTTTTTCAGTTTTCTTGAAGGTAGCAAATTGATGCCAAATTGTATCAAATTGATAGCAAAAATTTGAATCGAATTGCTAGGAAATATTTGAACCAAATTGCTAACAAAAATTTGAATCAAATTGATACTAAATTGGATACTATAAATTGATACTATAAATTTGAATCGAATTGCTAGCAAAAAATTTGAACCAAATTGTTAACAAAAATTTGAATCGAATTGGTACCAAATTAGATCAAATTTATATCAAAAATTTGGATCGAATTGCTAACAAAAATTTGAATCGAATTGGTACCAAATTGGATCAAATTGATTCCAAAAATTTGAATCGAATTGATACCAAATTGGATCAAGTTAACACCTCGATAATTAGAGATTTTTTTTTTAGTCTTAAAATTCTTAGTGTTAAATTATTGTGTAAATATCTGGTCAGAGTCATCTTGGTAGTGTGTGACAGTGCGCCCGACAAACTGCGCCAAAGAAATCGTTGTTTAGATCGTTTAATCTTTTTTCAAGTCGAAGATTATTTAAAAATCGATCCTTTTTCGATTGACTAAAATGTCCTCTACCAACGGTTATTCTTAATGCTGCTTCTTCAGCGGCAGTCATGGCAACGGGTTCTCCATTTTCTTCGCCCTCTTTAGATTGCACTCCCTCTGAATGCGTTGAATTTTCGACGAGATTTATTCTCAGTTCGGTATCGGAATCTGATTCTGATTCTAGAATTGGAAAAAGAATATTATTAGTTGATATATTCTTAGTTTAGAATATTGTTAGTTAAGAATTTAAATATCTAAATTTTGTTATTAAGAATTTTTAATTTGAGATTTTGTGAACTAACCGAAATCAGAGGCAGAGTCTGATGAACATCCAGATGAGGAAGTTATTTCCCATTGGAGAGTTCTTTGTCTGCGGGGAAAATTTGGTTTCGATGTGACGACTTGGGCCACACTTCGAACACATTTTCTGTTTGGACATCTCACAATGAAGGAAGCATCGAAACTTGATGGTCTTCCTCTGTAGCGAAGTTGGGCTGCTCTTCTTCTTCTTTTTTCCTGGTGAAGCGATAATTTTGCTTCCACTCTGTTAAATAAAAGGAAAAGTTACAAAAATTTTCGTCTACATTCTTAATATTCTAAAAATTTTAATCTAATAATATATTTGCCATTAAAAATTATTACAAGAAACTCAGTTAGTCCCCTTTCTTCCTTTTTTCTCCCCTTAATTGTCAAAAATTCCCAGAAGACCTGACATAATTTATTTTCTTTTTTTTTTCCTTTTTTGAATTTAGAAAAACATCCAAATTTTGTCATTTTTTTTTCTTTGTAAATTAAAAAAAATTCTTAAAGAAACAGCATATATGCTGTTTGAAAATATTAAAACGAAAAATAATTTTTCGAAACTATAGGAAAATTTATTTATTGATATTAATTAATTATAAAATTATTATTTAATAATAATATACTATTAGGTTTTTCTATTTTTTAAATTTCGCGCCAATTCACATCTTTAAATCGCCGCCCAGATGGCATGAAAGTTCTCTCACAAGCGCAGATTACAAGAATCAGAGTGGTGATGAAAAATTGTTTCGTTTCGTTTATAAAATGAATAATGCAAATTACAACAATAAATAAATTATAAATAATTGTTATTAATGAATAAAATGAAAGAACTTTCAAAATTTGTCATTTTTTTCTTTTTAAATTAAAAAACTTCTTAAATAAATGTATAACTTATTTTATTTTTCGTTCGATTAGAAAATTATTTTTCGTTTTAATAATATAAAAATATTATTATTAAATAATATTTAATATTTTTAATTTTATTTTTAATAATATTTATTAAAAACTCACTTTGTCGGCAATGAACTCGTTTGCGTGACTTCATTAATTTTAGGCACTTCATTGCTAAGGGGAGGTGAATATTCAACAGCTTTTTTAACTTCAGCGCATCTGAAAAAAATTAATGGAAAATTTTTTGAAATTAGTTTCTTTGAATTGCGTAACTTATTTCTAGTTTTATAGCTATAATTTCCAATGTAAATTTTTTTTTTCTTTTGTTATTGAGACAATAATAAAATTCCATATATTAGAGGATCTTGATAATCACGATAATAGAAATTAATTAAAAATTGAAAACAATGTTTTTATAATTAAAGTTGTCGTTTTTTTTTAAATTCATTTGTAATCTAATCATTACAATTGGAAACTTAATCAACGATTCAATATGTGTGTCTTCCGCCTTGAGGTGTGCCATATTGCACTGATGACAATATAAATTACGCAAACGCTTCTGTGGCGTAATAATTACCGATTTCTTTTTATACTGACCGATAATTTATCGGGAATAATATTCATAATTATTTTTTTTATCTTGATAATAGCAGGAAGTTTGTAAATCAAGGAGTAAAAGTTATTTTTATGTAATTTGGGTTTAAATTTCGCGCCTAGAAATTTTATTCTTCTTTACCTACACAAGACAAATTTCAATTTCAGATTTGAAACTCGAATTTCTTGCTTTGTGAGCAAGAATCGATTTTTTTTTGTGAAAAGAAAAGAAATTGAAAACTATTCATTTTTGAAAATTTACTTAAACAAACTTAAACGAACATTTTTTAATGATAACATTAAAAAATAATATTATTTAAATTAAAAATTATTAAAAATTAAATTAATTTCAGTAGAAATTATTAGAAAAACTGTGAAAAAAATACTATTTTTTAAATTCGTTTTGGTGAAAAGGTAAAGAATTTAATTTTTACACTTTAGACAGAATTAAAAGTTGCAAAATGAAAATTACAATTTTATTAGTTTTATTAAGAAAATAAATTTTAATTATTAATTACATTAGTTCATTACATCTTTTAATTTGTATTTTTTAAATACAAATGTTTTGTATTTAAAAAATACACAAGTAATTTTTTTTTTAATATTTAAACGTTCAAATTTTTAGGGACATAAAAAATTTAACAATTTTAATTTAATAATTAAATTTAATATAATTTAATAAAATTTAATAATTGAATTTTGATAATTACGCTGAAAAAATGTATTTGATACAAATAAACAATTACTTGGTTTTTATCAAATAAATATTTACTTGAATAAAATAATTTTTAAGATTTAAAAAAATTAAATGGTATTTGTTTCAAATTTCAGAAATTGTTGGTTCAAATACAATTTAATTGTCTTAAATAAAAATTACTTGATTTAAGTAAATATTTATTTAGTTCTAGTAAACATTTATTTGATTCAAGTAAATATTTATTTAGTTTAAGTAAACATTTATTTAATTCAAGTAAATATTTATTTGATTCAAAGCAAAACTTTATTTGATTCAAGAAAATATTTATTTAATAATATATTCAAATAATCGGTTATTAGATTCAAATAATTTTTTTAGTCTATTAAAAATAATAATTAAGACAATAAATAATTTTTATTCGGAATATTTTTTTCCTCTTTGTTTAATACTTGATTTATTTTAACAATTTTTTTTTGTTTTCTTTTTTTGGTTTTAATTTTATTTATTTATTTTAACAATTTTTTTTTTTGAGTAAATTGTTTTGTACCTCAGTTATTTATTGTTGGTCAGGAAACAATAAAATGAAAAGTGATTGATAATAAATTAAAAGTTTGATTAAGAGAGTAAATTCGCAAAATACACCTATATATAGAGTTCAATATAGACGTCATGCAATGCTAACATTAAAAGTCAATGACATTTAATGAGTCTGGCGTGTTATAGGAGGAGAGACAGGCATATGTTTCAAATTTCTAAATTAGAAACGCGTCATTTAAAATTAATGTTACAAACTCACGTGGTTAAAATTTTTGCACGGTTCGCAACAAGTGTAAACAGTAATTGTACATGAATGAATGCATTATTAGTCGCTTACTACGTATGTATATAAAGCGGTAGAATATCTTCAATCAAAACAACTTTGCACTAAACGAACCTTAACTGCATTGAATAATTTAAATTTTCATCGGATCGTTTTATTATACATACAATACGTACATACATAGTGTGTTAAAAGACTTGTTACTTTTTCAACTTTTCCTAATATTGTTTGTTTTGTATACATTCAGCCGTGACTTTCAATTTTTAATGTTCTTCAAGTTTCGAAAGTTAAAGTAAACGACGATTTTTTTATACTTTGTTTAAATTTAAATTTATATTTTTTTTCGTGTATTCTTTTTATTCCCGTGTATTTATTTTTAGTTGTTTTAATTAATATACCTACTTTTTGCTTTTCTACAGAAATATTTATTACTAAAAGTTTTCTCGTATTAGAGTAAAAAAATTTAATTTCGTTAAAATGAATGAATATTTTTTTCTATTTAAATATATTCAAATGTTATGTGAAATGGCTGAGTGGTCTCGTCACTGAATTATTAATAAACAAGGTGTTCGGGGTTCGAATCCTAACGTCTGAAAATTTTTCAGTTTGAAAGTAAAAAAGAATAAAATAAATTATGTAGTAAAATAAAACTAAAATAAATTCTACATTTATGGATAGGAATTAATTTTCTAAATTAATAATAAAATATTTTCGAACAAAATTCAAATTCAAGTCTTTAGAGACATTAAATATTAAATATTAAGTATTCAAATATTATCAAATAATTGAAAAGTATTTAAATAGAAAAAAATTTTCTTCATTCTTCGATTAATGAAATTAATTTTCATATAGAAAATTAATTTCCAAATAGGAAAATAATTTTTATTCAATAAATGACGCTCAACTTTGCGATACGTTTATAAAAGTGGTTAAAAATCAATTTTTCATACATTATTTTTAATGTCACTTCTCATTTATAAACAAGAGAATTTTTTTTTTATTGACAATAAATTTCGCTTGTGTTTGAAAAATGGAGAAAAAATTAAGGGCAAGTGATGACCTAAATTGACGCAATACGCGGGTAAATTCATATATGAAATGGTAGCGCACCCTTTAAAAAAATGTCTTTAGGCAAAAAAAAAAAAAAAAAAAAAAAAGAATAAATAATGACCTACGTTATGAATATTCATTATACTAATATAAAATTTACATTTACTTTGTCTTGTGGAAAAATTTTTGTCCTCTTTATATAAAAGAGAAATGTTATGCTAAATTTTGTAGCATTTATTAAAGAGCAAGTGAATTGGAGTATAAAGGTTGAAAATAGAAATGTCACTTTCAATCAATGATTGTGTGTATATTTTATTGATTAATGTTATGGTTAATTTATGATAGAAAGGAAAAATTGCGGTGGCAGTTTTAAATAGTGGTCCTTGGTCGAGGTCGTTAAGGCGTTAAAAGTGCGTGAGTTTTGGGTTTTGCGTTCGAATCTTCTTGACTTTGGAAAATTTTGAATTTTTATTTATTATCAGTTTTACTCTCTAAATTTGGATTAGTAAAAGTTATTTACTAATTCAAAGGCAAAAAAATCAGTCACTTATTGAATTGAAACAAAAAACGAATCAAAAAGTTGCTTAGCAAAATTTTTGATTCTTTTTTTGTTTCAATTTTATATCCTTAGAAAAATTGTGAATAATAATAATTTCTACTAGTTTATTAATAGAATTTAGTAATTTGCAAATAAAATTTATAAATTACATAAAATTTACTATAAAAATAAAATTAGTAAATTTTACTAATAAATAGTAATTTCTAATAATTTACTATAGTAAAATTGATTTAATTAAAAAGCAAAAATTTAGTCACTGATTCAAATTAGTAAATATTTATACTAATTCAAATTAAGAGAGTAAATAAATAATATTATTTACTTAATTGAATCAAATAAATGTTTATACTTAAAATAAATAAATATTTACTTGAACCGAATAATTTTTATTTAAACCAATTAAATTTTATTTGAACCATTAATTTCTGTATTTAATACAAATATCATTTAATTACTTCAAAAATTATTTGATTCAAGTATGTAAATATTTATTTGAATTATATTTAATTTATTTAATTTATTTATTTCAAGCTTACAATTGCGATTTAATTTTTTAAGCAAATATTAGCTCTGAAAATCAGTTTCCTAAATTAAATGCAAGTCTCACAATATTTGGAAACTAAATAAGTTGTTATTTTAAGAAATTAAATTTTGAAATTAAAAATTATTTTTAATTTCAGTTATAAAATTTTCTAAATATAAATTTTTATTTAACGCAACATAATCGATTATGCGATAGATCTATTTGGAGTTCGGTTTTATTTGAGGAGACTTTTATTTTATTTGCTTTGCTTAACGTTATGATTGAAAAAATACATTTGTAAATTAGAATTGATATTTTTATATATATAGAGGGACGATGAAACATTGTTATTATTATTAAAAAATATTCTGTGCAATTTGCACGTTTCTTAATGCGTGATCATGAAATGATTATTGTTGGCAAACAATTTAGAGAGAGAATAAAAAATTTAGCTCTAGAAATATAAATAATCGAAAGTAGTGCGTCATTTATTATTTCATAAGCTCAATAAAAAAGAACATCAAATAGTAATGATTCTGAGAAATCGATCCACTTTAAAATGTGTGACTTTTATTTTTTATACTTTATTCCGCATTTTATTTTTTTCCTTGTAACAATTTTTTCTCTTTTTCTTTTTTTTCTTAATTAAATTGTTAATCTTATTCTTTTTCTGCTCTTTTTCTTTTTTTTGGGGGTTTTTCTTCTGCTTTTTCTATTTTCTGCTCTTTTTCTTTTTTTTTCTGTTTTTCTTCTGCTTTTTCTCTTTTTTTGATCTTTTTCTTTTATTTTTTCTCCTTCTGTGTTTTTTCTTTACTTTTTTTTTGTTTTTCTAAATAAATAATTTATTTTGATTGACAAAAATACAAGTTGTAGACATGAAATCATTTTCTTTTCTCCTTCTCTGTTTTTTCTATTCTTTTTTTTTCCTAATAAATAATTTATTTTGATTGACAAAAATACAAGTTGTATGAAATCA